AATACATGTTTCAGCTTCTTCTAGTTTAAGATGATTGGTGAATTCTCTTTTAAAATCATTCGGCCACCAGACTTACTCTTGGCCTACATTACAAACGCCGTTTTTGCTGTTTTTTATTGCTCTTGTTACCATCTTCCAATTGTTGATAATATTTTGCGGGGATTTAAAATTTTCACAAGTATACAGTAGGGTAAATGCAATACCTTTGGTGGCCTCTTTTTATTTTTAATTTAATGAAAAGATTGATTATTTGGTGTAACAATTACTCACTCGTATTGTACGAATGAGTAATTGCATTGCTTTTTCAGATTGGTACAGGTATAACAAATACACTGATCAATGCAAGAAAATTGGTTGACAAATCTTTTGCCGCTGAGGCGGAGGATTTGCCGGTAATATCGACAAGTGTTACCTATGGGGTTTACATGTCAGTATCTAGCAACCTAAGGTATTGAAAAAAATAAACTAATAACTTCTATGATGAAATTATTCTCTTGGATTGATTGAGGGATCACACCCTAATAGTAATGAATTATCCCTTGCATGCATGAAACAGAATCTAAGAGGATATCTTTGTCTTCTTCCAGGTACCAATTACTAGCTGGAGTTATTGAACAACGAATTCTAGAACCTTTGTTGCACCAGCACAAGCTTGTGCTGAGCGCAATTTGCTTTGTTGTTAGAACTGGAAACACTTTCTTGGGCTCATTATTGTAAGATTGTCACTTTATCTTGATATGTCTTTGTACATTTAACTAAATTCGCTATTTTCCACCTCTTATAATTTTTGACATGCATGTATCTTACAGGTGGGTGGATTATGCTCGCTGGGTTGGAGTCCAGAGGAGTCGGGATTAGGCATAACAGTTCTTCAGTCACAAGATATTGGCATAGTGGCTCTCAGTTACAAGATTTGGTTAAAATCTTCCCTGTTGATTGATTGTTGCAATAAAGTTGGTATGTTGTATTTTTTATATTCCTCCTTAAAGCAATATTGTACATTGAGCAATGACGGAGGTCAGCAAGCACCACGAGTCTCCAATTATCGTCGTTTACAAGATCCATCCCTCGTAGCAAGCAGAAAGCTGCACCATGAGATGAAATTGAGTCAAATCTTTACTACACATTTGTGGGGGCAATTCCTCTATTGTCCTTGTGTGTTTGTTTTGCATCTAAAGTTGAATGGAAAGGAATCAAATTCAAATTGGTAGTTCTCTAATAAACTGCTGTGTAACTTTATTTCTTTTCACATTGGTCATCAATTTTCTTCTGTTATATTGGTTGCTTAACCATTCCATACCATTTTTCTTATTTGTTGCCATTTGAGCATTAAAGTGAAAAAAAGAGTTAAGAGTTGGTTCACTTCAATAGTTGCTAAAGTTTGTTCACTCATTGTTTACCTCGGAAGAAGCCCGTGGTATACGTACATGCCAGAACACAAAAATAATATACACGGAATTATATAAAAGTAAACTCAAGTTTATTCTTTACATGCATATACTTCACTCAAATTTTCATATACTTGTGCATTGTCACGAAACAGTAAGAGCTAGAAGATAAGGAATATATGATCTCCTTTTAATTTCTGCAACAAGAAAAATGTTTAAAACTATGATCGAGTTTTAATCGTTCTATGTGACAGTGAAACTGAAATCAAGCTTAAGAAATTACGTAAAACAACAAAAAATATAATGAGTTGTATGATTTAATTTCCAAACTACATTTGCCGCAAGTAAAAACTCACGGTATTTTATTTGAATCATGTCTAGAAACAAGGCAATATAATTTGACAAAATCATAAAGAAATGTACTGATTATCATGAATAAAATGCTCCAATGGTCAGTATTAGCTCCTACTTTCATTAAAAAACTAGTATCAATGTTAGAATTTTGACCGAATGTTAAATAACTAACGCCTGTGATAAGAGCTCATGTTTTCATTAGCGTATTTATAAAACATATAAATAATATAACTCAAAATTAAGATTTTGAATTTAGATGTGATTCGTTCGATAGCATGACCGCCCAGTATCAATTGGATTCATTGTTGCAGAAATGCAGGTCTCTGATTAGCATGAAGCAGCTCCAAGCGCATCTCATAACAACCGGAAAATTCCAATTCCACCCTTCCCGGTCAAAGCTCCTCGAGCTCTGCTCCATCTCCCCCGCCGGCGACCTCTCCTTCGCAGGCCAAATTTTCCGGCGAATCCAGACCCCTTCCACCAACGACTGGAACGCCGTTCTCCGAGGCCTAGCCCAAAGCCCAGAACCGATGCAGGCCCTGTCATGGTACCGCGCCATTTCACGCAGTCCCCAAAAGGTGGACGCTTTGACGTGCTCCTTCGCCCTCAAGGGCTGTGCGCGCGCATTGGCCTTCTCCGAAGCCACACAGATTCATTCTCAGCTTCTGCGTTTTGGGTTCGAAGCTGATATATTGTTGCTGACCACTTTGTTGGATGTGTACGCCAAAACCGGTGATCTTCATGCTGCCCATAAGGTGTTTGATAATATGCAAAAGCGAGATATTGCTTCGTGGAATGCAATGATCTCTGGGTTGGCTCAAGGAAGCCGACCCAATGAGGCTATAGGTTTGTTCAACAGAATGAAGGAAGAGGGGTGGCGACCTAATGAGGTAACTGTTCTGGGTGCACTCTCCGCTTGTTCACAATTGGGTGCTTTGAAACATGGGCAGATTATTCATGCCTATGTTGTGGACGAGAAGCTAGACACTAATGTGATTGTTTGTAACGCAGTTATTGATATGTACGCAAAATGTGGCTTTGTTGATAAGGCTTATTCCGTGTTTGTTAGCATGAACTGCAAGAAGAGTCTTGTCACATGGAACACTATGATCATGGCGCTTGCGATGAACGGTGATGCCAATCAGGCGCTTGAGCTTTTGGATAAGATGGCTGCGGATGGAGTGGATCCTGATGCGGTGTCTTATCTTGCTGCATTGTGTGCATGCAACCATGCTGGCTTGGTGGAAGAAGGGGTTAGGTTGTTTGATATGATGAAGGGGTATGGAGTGAAACTTAATGTTAAGCATTATGGGAGTGTGGTTGATTTGTTAGGTCGAGCAGGAAGGATAAAAGAGGCGTGTGACATCATAAACTCAATGCCTATGGTTCCTGATGTGGTGCTCTGGCAGAGCTTGCTTGGGGCTTGTAAGATTCACGGGAACGTGGAAGTGGCTGAGATGGCATCAAGGAAGCTGGTGGAGATGGGATCAAACCATTGTGGGGATTTTGTGTTGTTATCGAATGTTTATGCAGCGCAACAAAGATGGTATGATGTTGGGAGGGTGAGGGAGGCCATGAAGATCAGGGATGTGAGGAAGGTGCCAGGATTTAGTTACACAGAGATTGATGGTAGTATCCACAAGTTTGTGAATGCTGATCAGAGTCATCCGAGTTCCAAAGAGATATATGCAAAACTTGATGAGATCAAGTTCAGGATTAAAGCATATAGATATGAAGCAGAGACTAATCTTGTGCTGCATGATATCGGGGAGGAAGACAAAGAGAATGCGCTTAATTATCACAGCGAGAAGTTGGCAGTGGCATATGGTTTAATTAGTACAGGTGATGGAACACCAATTCAGGTCATAAAGAACCTTAGAATATGTGTGGATTGTCATGATGTGATAAAAATCATATCAATTGTTTATAAAAGGGAGATTATTGTGCGTGATAGAGCCAGATTTCACAGATTTAAAGAAGGTGTATGTTCTTGCAGAGATTATTGGTAAAATTATATCAGAATGCTTATTGTATTTCTGTATTTACTAGTACAGTGAATTTCTCACAAGTAACTTAATCACAACATTTCAGGAATAGATGGATAAGATAGGTAATGTGACTGGAGAGGAAAAGAAAGATAAAAGGTTAATACACAGAAATTGTTGGTGAAAAAATTACCCACTTTGATCTAATTTGCACCATTTTTTATTTTGAATTCAAACTAATTCAATTATATATAACAAATTTCGACAGCATTAAATCCAACATTTTCTGTTCATAATATGAGGAGTTTGAACTTGCAATTAATAGAAGAAAAATGTATTTTAGCTAAATGACAAGTAAAACACTAATTCCTAGATGTGTTGCTCACTTTTGAGGTCAAGTTACAGTTATTTTTAGTTCTATTATTTGAACATCAATACTACAGACCGTGCTTGATGTTAAATTCGATTATTTTTTAAATATTTCCATACATGTATTTCAAAATGTTTTTCAAAGCAAAAGAAACACAGTCAAGAAAATCCCATAAAGTTATAAAAACCTAAAAGAAAACACTTTTATTGTATTAGATTGGCTGGAATTTTTTAGGCTACACTTTTTTTTTCATTGAAGAATTAGATACATTTTATTCTCTTTAACACAATTTGTTTTGTCCTTAAAATTTGTTTGTAATGTCACAAACAGGGACATTTGACCAAATTTTATATATAATTAATAACAAATTTAGAATAAAATAAAATATAAACCACCAACATAATAAAATATGATAAATCGATACATTTATTTTAAAAATAATAAAATATAATATGTGATGTATGCATATTGACAAGTATTCAATAATTTTGAAAAACATAATAAATAATAAATATATGATAGTATTATTATTTGTAAATTAAACAATTTATTGATAAACATATATAAAATATCATAAAATATGTGATCCAAATTAAATTATCGGTACATGGACTATAATGAAAAAAAATTAATACGAGTAATTACAAAAATTGTTAAACGAACAATTAAAAATAATTATATTTAATGATTTTTAGATTAAAATATGATTATGTAAAAAATATCAGAAAACATTTTTAAGCTTTATAAACTAATAATTAGTATCAGCATTTTAGAGTGTAAAGTATAGATTCCCAAAAATCCAATTTAAAATGTATATTAACATTAATTCCTGAAAATTCAATATAAAATGTAAAATATTAAAGCAAACACGGGCCTCCTTTTATCTTCCTCATTAATCCACTGTATAAAGCTGTAAAGATACCTATTATTCAACTTGGTGTGTCACTTCACAACCATACATAATTCCCAAACCGATTGCACTTAAAACCCTAACCCTAGAAATCAGACTCTGAGATAAATGACGCAGAAGGCGAATCTATTCAAGGGTAAAGCCAAGAAGAAATCAATTCCTCCCAATCGTCATGGGAAAGCCCCTGTTACTCGCAAAGGTTTTACCCTTTTTTAAGTTTGTTTTTCTTTCCTTCCAGTGCAAGATCTTTTGCAATAATCTCTTACTGTTTCTCTTCGCAGGAAAGAGATTCGTGAAGCCATCCAAGGTCACAAAGGAGATGGATGCTGATCGTGTAAGTCCCTTTAGCTCATCTTTTATTCCCACTCACTTTATTCCTTTTGGGTGTTCATAGTTCTGAGCAAGGTTGTCAAACTCGAGAGTTTACGTAAACTCGTGAGAGTCCAGTAAACTCGACTCGTAAACTCGACTCGTAAACTCGACTCGTAAACTCGCGACTAGAAACTCGACGTTCGTAACTAGACTAGAGTCCATAACTCGACTCGAAACTCGACTCGTAACTCGACTCGTAAACTCGAATCGTAAATCTACTCGACCACTCGTAACTCGACTCGTAAACTCGCTCGTTAACTCGACTCGTAACTCGACTCCGTAACACTCGACTCGTTAAACTGACTCGAACCGCGTAACCACGTCCGACTCGTAAACCACTCGACTCACGTAAACTGTCTAACTGACTCGGTAAAACCTCGAACTCGTAAACTTCGCTCGAAAACTCGCGCGTAACTGACTTAACTCTCGACGAAACCGATAACAACGCCGACTCCGTAAAATCTGCGTTAAACTCGCTGTAATTGACTGTAACATCGTCAACACTAACCGCTCCTATAACTCGACTCGTAAACTCGACTCGTAATACTCGTAAACCGTAAGTTTACTTTGTATGAAAAAACATATAAATAACATTCTAATTCAAATAAAATAACAAAATTATATAAATTGAAATACATAAGTTCATAGAAATATTGTTCCATTACATACGATATAATGTAAAATTAAATTGAAATGTCAAAGGTCCATAGGCCTCATCCTGCTAATCCTCTAATAATGTCATCATCTCATCATCAGCTCATATCCACTAACTCGTCCTCTGATTGGAACTGTTGTGCATCTCATGTGTTTCTCAATGTTATGTTATCCAAGTATCAAGGAGCACTTTCTAAAATACGGCATCTGTACTCTTTGCACTCCATCTATGTCGATACATATTTCACATCATTTTCACTTCATTCACTTACTTGATCAATTCACCAACAATCGCCTTGCTCTCTTCAGCTATCCCTTTCATCATCTGATTCTCTGTATCTCAAATGAAGACTTAGTTTTTCGTTAATCGTCTTACTTTTTCAGCTTGGATTATAACATCACAATAAACTAAATCATTCATCTTTTTTTGATGTAAACGATTCCTCCTCTTTGTATGACCTAAATGAAAGATATATTTTTAATGAAGATGATTACAACCATAATAAAGGAATTTATAAATAAATGAAAATAATTGTAAAATTACCATTTTCAAAATGAACTCCCAATTACGCACATCCAGAGAACTACAAGTCAAATGCTAAATTTCGATTAGTCAAAATCTCTTTCATAACTCTGGCAAGTTCCTCACCAAACATGTCCCTTACCATTCCCATGGATTTACTCTTTCCTCTCTAACTCTTTTGCATCTCCATTTCAAACGGCCTCTAGCATTATGAAATTCCAACAATTTGATAAATTAATTTTCTTCTTTCTCTTCGGCCATATCTGGTATCATTCTTCTCATGCAAAATATCACAATCCCTTCTTTCACCTCTCCAACCATCATCACTATCTAAAGTAGGTTCATATGACACGTCGGGGTTTAGAAAATAGGTCACCTGCTGCAGGCCTAGAAGTTGATTATCCCATCGAGCACAATTATTCTCCAAACTCTTCATAACTACATCAATCATGCATATAGAAATAATCTAAACACATAAGTAATTAAACATTGAATGAGTAAAAGTTTGGAAAATTTACCTCTTTTGATATTGTTCAAGTTAGACCTAACTTCTTCTTTGCACAGTCCACTCTCTCATAAATGAACCCATTGGCAGGTTTACTTCTTGAGTCCCATAATCTTAAGACAACCATGAGAGGGGCATCTCTTCAGCTTCAGCGCATATGGAGATCTATTCTTTCCAAATCGGCTATCTAAATACTAACATGTTGTTAACTTTTCCCTCCCTCTTTGTGACGTTCACTAACTTGCTTGTTTACGCATTCCTCAGGAGTGAACATGTGGCTCTACTCACAACGTATGCTCCTTCTAATCATGAAGACAAGCTTCTAAGGTTAAATAAGCGTCTGGCAATTAGTCACTCACCGGTCTTATAAGGGTTCTACCTTTAGTAAACTTTCAATAAGGAAACAACACTTGTCGTATCTCCATAATTGTATCACTTTGGTCAGTACGTGAATCTTTTCTTTCCTTCCCTTCTTAATGGACTCAATTCATATGGACCTTCACAATTTTTTTCAAAAATCTTCGAATATCAATCATGCTATGTGCAGCACATGGGATTCCAATATCACTTTTCACGTCTTTTGCATCAACAACTTCTCCCGCCTAGCCTTGAAATTTTGCT